CCGAATTACGGTTTAGGGTTCTGTAACTGAATTTAAGTTCTTTGGCAGCAACCCGCTCTTTCATTAGCCGCAGGCGCTGGACCTGAGACTTCGCCACAAGCACTGATTCCCTATGTCGATACCTCGAGCCTACCTAGAGGATCCACGTAATCAATGATTAGGTGCTTGGGGTTTGAGTAGGGGTTTAGGGTTTGTAATACTTGTAGTGCAGGTCTTGGACTAAATGCTTTAGTAAGTACTTGGACCCATGGGGTAACTGATTGTACTACGTTGTCCTTGTATCCTGCTTTGCAGCAATGTAAATGGTCCACGAACAATGTCAACATGCAGCACCCGGCCCTAGATGCTAGACCAGATAGTTTAACCCCAGGCTGTGTATCGACTGGCCTACTTTGTAAGCCAAGTGTACCCTTTATAGTAGGCCGTCCAACCCAATCCCTCAACCCTAAACCCTTAGCCTAACCCTGAACCCAACTCTAAACCCTAGGTCACCTAACCCAGTCCCTAATCCTAAACAACCCTAAGCCCAGTGTGCAGGGCTGGAGACTGTAAGCCATCAACTAATGGACTTTTGAGCCCCAGAAACCCTACAACCTTAACCCGGTTTAGGATCTAGGATTGAGGGTCTAGGTTTCAGGGGTTAGGGTTGAGGGTTTGGGGTTAGAGTGAAGGATTTCCCCACAGCTTGAGCCCCTAAACCCTGAATCCTGGCACTCTGGACGCCCGCATCCCTGGAAATCTGAACCCTAAAGTAGGGTTTAGGGGTTACTCGAGGAACTTTGTCGATCCCAAGAGATCCTAACGTGTAGTTAAGGATTATCTTACAAAGACCTCCAATAAGGCCTAAACCTTAAACCCTAAGGATAATATCTTTTGAGGAGCATGCTGTGCTGCTAAGCCGTGGGGTTATATTAGGGAATGGAAAATACAATGGAAACTACTGTTCAATAGGTCTAGTAAGTTGGTGTTATATAAGATTGTATATAGGGATAGTGGAAAGGAAATGGAAACTACAATTTTCATATAGTATATTGGGGTTATATAAGGTTTTATATAGGGATAGTGGAAAAGAAAATGGAAACTACTAGACCTTAAACCCTAAAGGCTTAGGGTACCTAACAGCTCAAACCTTGACCTCTTCGACGCCCTCGCGCTGAACCTTGAACAACAATTTTGTATTACTTGTAGTCGTATTGTTACGTTTAGGGTTTAGGGTTTAGGGTTGATATTATTGTTCCTAATCTTACTATTAGTATTACAAGTACTGTTATGATTATTCTTGGTCCTACTACTAGTACCAGTATTTGCGTCTCACGGAAGTCCGAGGCGTCAAGCGGATGGCCAGGCGGCAGGGAGCTTGGATGTTTACCTTGCCCATGTTGCGTTGAACCCTGACCAACCCACCCTCTTGCCTGCGCCATCGCAGCACAACGAAGCCACTATTAGTATTCAATTCGGCACGATGGTGAGTGTGAATAGCGTGCAGCAAGGTGATATTTCAGCTGATGATGGCTGTTGAGTGCAGGGTAAGAGATCACTGGTGCGGTGGGGAAGATGGAGTTCTGGAGCTTGCATATACTTACTGGTTTGTGGTACGGAAGAAGTGAAGATAGTCCCTACAGATTCCCCCATGTAGTATCTTCCCTTTATTCCCTATTAAGAACCAGTAAGTATAGGCCTTAGCGCGCAGGGCTTGTGTACAATCATGTATTTTGTCCAGGGGAGAATGGGCGGGGAGATGGTGAGAAAGGATGCTGAGGCCATATGAGCTATAGTCTAAACTGCTGAAAGGTGGGTTATGTAGGGGACTATTTCGGGGAGTATTCTAGGGGTTACTAAGGGGGATACTAGGAATTTAGACCATAGCTCATATTGTAGCAGACTTCTTGCCCATCTTTCCGACCTCTTTATGGCAGGCTCTTGTGTCTGCGATGAGTATGCTACTTCGAAGTTCAAGGCTGCGGCTGCGCCAGAAATCTACCCAAGCGGAGTTAACCAGGACCCGCAGTACTCTTAGTTGGAGTTATAGAGCGCTAATAGTGGGTACATAAGCCGAAATCAAGGGTGGTTGGAGGGTCTAAGATGGTACTACCCTGAACCCTAACTTCTAGCAGTGAAGGTGTCTGCGTGTTTCTTTGGGGGGCGGCTGGCGTAATGAGCTGTTGGAAGAATCTTTCAATGGTGGTTGAATCCAGAGCGCTGGATGTAGGCGTCAAGGTGTAGGCTTGAGGGTTTAGGGAACTATCCACAGCTACCCCCCCACCCCCCCAAGCCCGAAGTGTCTTCACGTAGACCCCAGTGCTGATTTGGCGCTGATGACCTCAACGGTAGGTGAAGATGCCGCCGTGGACAATATGATGTCGCGGGAAGCGGCGCCGCGGGAATATTTAGAGCGGGTAGGGAGGTGAAGGCCCACTAGTTCTAATAGTGATGATCATCAGGCGCCTTTAGTGCCGGAAGGGGGAGAGAGGAGTAATCAATCGGACTCCTCTTCATCCTCATGGCAGTCCAACAGATCTTTGGCCTACAATGAGCGCAAAACGCTTCGGGCATTTGATCGAATGTATGGTCAAGATCCTGATAGGCGCCCGTACATGGCATCTTCGGATTCAAGCCCAGTGAGCCTCGCGTTTGGTTAGTCATCAGCTGGACCCATTCGCGGCTTGGCAGAATGTCTGGTGGATTGAGCACCAATGCCCCTTCGGAACCGCAGGCTGTTTTATTGCAATCCGTAAAACTTACTTGTTCTTAGTAGGGAATGCGGCAGATATGTAATACAGAAATTACATAGGGATTATGTTCCCGTATTCTCGATTAAGAATCAGTGAGAAAAGAGACGACATTGCCGGCCCTGACCGAAGGTATCGCCTGAATTACTGAAAGGCTTAAGCAGCCGCTCGCCCCCACACGGGCGGTTTAGGGTTGAGGGACCCTAAACCCTCAACCCAAAACCCTAAGCCCTGATGCTTATAACCCAAACCTCCCCAACCCTACTTAGAAAGGCTGGCTCCGTGAGGACTTCTTTTGTTTTTTTTGGTTTAGGGTTTTAGGGTTTGGGGTTTAGGGTTGAGGGTTGTAGGGTTCAGGGCTTAGGGTTTATGGAAAGGTGTTTGAAAGAGCCCTTGGGTTCTGGAGATCTGTGTTTTTTCATGTGGTCCAGGTACCTATGCCCAGTCTCGGCTCCAAAGTACGTAAAGAATATCACTTTAACCTTAGGAAACCAGGTATATACTACACTCTAAACCTAAACAGGAAATCTTTTACCCTGACACCGAAAATCGAGCTCCGCAGGATGAACTCTTAATCTTGAGCCCAACACCCTAGACTTTACCTGTAGCCCCAACTACCCAGACCCCTGGGCGGATCTAGAAAGTAGAACCCCCTTAAGGGTTCCTAGGAATTACCCAATAGTAGTATAGGGCACCAAATTGGGGGTTCTACTTTCTAGATCCTCCCAGGGGTCTGGGTGCCTACAGTTTGGGGTTATCCTTTCCACTTCAAGGGTAATGACAACTAAGCTGCAGGTACCCAGACCCTCCTATGTAGTTCCTTTTTGGCGAGTCTAATCCTTACGCCAAAAAACCATAGCAGACCCAAAAGGAATTACATAAGACCCCCCGAATAATTGGGGCTAGATGTAGGTACCGTCGCTTCCCAGACCCCTGGGCGGATCTAGAAAGTAGAGCCCCCTAAGGGTTCCTAGGAATTACCCAATAGTAGTATAGGGCACCAAATTGGGGGTTCTACTTTCTAGATCCTCCCTAAACCCTAAACCCTGATCCTGCCAGGGGTCTGGGTTCGGTTAAATCAAGGCTGCGGGCGGTAAACGAGATGCAGAGTCTTCTGACTTGGTGCTATGCTCACGGCTCGGGGCCCGGCTTCATGAATTAGGGGTTTAGGGTTTGGGGTTAGGGTTTAGGGTTTTAGGGTTTTAGGGTTTTAGCGTTTAGGGTCCAAGGGCCGAAAAAAATGGGGGGGTTTAGAGCCCAAATACCGCTAATATCATTGTATTTGGGTCCTAAGCCCCTATTATTTGGGTCCTTGGACCCTTAGGGTTAGGGTTGAAGGGTTTAGGGCTTAGGGTCACAGCTTTTGCAGACACTTACCAGGGAGGTTTCTCAAAATCTGAGGTCTGAAGGACCACAGGGATATGTGAAGGTTAGCCCAAATTCGGTTAAGGCTCCAAAAAGGATAAGTCAGGACATCCTGCATTGTGTCCTCGGTCCCTTAAGAAGCCCTTAAATATTAAGTTTGGAGTTTGGAGTTTTGGGCTTGGGCTTACTAATATCATGGTCCTGGATTCCTTGCATACTCATGGTAAAGAGTACCTCCAATAGGCTTCAAATGATATTGGCAGTCATTTAGGCCCCTGCAGTACCTGATTTTGTCATGAGCTAGAGTCTGAACTCTTAGTATCCCCCCTAATATCCCCAATAATAGTCCCCTAACTAATCCCCATATGAACCCCTTCAAGGAGTTTCCACCCTAAACCCCAAATAACCCCTTTCACGGAGTTTAGAATCTAGCTCATGTGTTATGCCCATGGTTTTGCCAGCATAGCTGGGTCCTGCAATGCTCAGCCCAATCAGGGTTTGGGAAGTACAGTCTGCAGTTTGTACTCTAGACTTGGGCTTGGTAGTAACCCTTGGTTGGTATTTTCTCACCCCTCGGTAACCTGAAGGTCCCTGACAGCAAGAAGCTGTAACCATAGGTTCCCCTTCCAAGCCAGCACGGAAATCCCTAAGCCCTAAACCTAGGTACCCCAGTAGTACCCTTTTGCTCTTTTTTATTTTGGGGTCTCCTTATTAAAGCTGAATAGTACGAAAAAAGGGTACAATTATTATTCATGGGTTACTGGGGAACCTAGAACCCTAAACCCTAAATCCTATAGTAGTTTCCATTTTCTTTTCCATTATTCCTGTATAACCCAAATATGTGTGAACCCCTAAACCCTAAACCAGAAACCCGAAACCCTAAACGCCAAGCAAGTAAGCAATGAGGCATCAGAAGCAGCGCCCGTGGTACAAGCTGGAGGCTGACATGCATAAGAAGTGGGCCCGGAACCCCGTTTTCTTTGGGCTGTTTGGAGTATTTGGGGGTTTCCCAAAATTAGGGGTACCCTTTTGCTGGGGGTCCCCATAATAAGGATTATAATATATTAGGGTCTATATATTGGGTCCCCTTATTTTGGGAAACTACGATTTAGGGCTGTGACTCAGGGATTCAGGGTTTAGGACTTATTGCGAGAGGTCTAAAGCAGAGTAATACCAAAAGCTCCCTAATCCTGGCAGACCCGGTTTAGGGTTGAGGGGGTTTAGGGTTTAGGTTTTAGGGTCGGCGGAGTCTCTTGCTCCGGGACGTATGATCCCGGCCTTTGTGTGCCAAAAGTCTTACGCTTTAGGTTTAGGGTTTAGGGTTTAGGGCTGAAGCAGCGCAACAGTTCAAAGGCCAAAAGAGGACGAATATTCAGGGAGTTCTTAGATGTGGGGCCCCATATGAGCTATAGTCTAAACGCCTTAAAAGAGGTTCCATAAGGGTGTATATATGCATATATAAAAATATGTAGACTACTATGGGGGATATTAATGGGGAATGCTAGGATGTTAGACTGGTGTTCATATAACATGGAGTCCCTAAAGGTCTCTCTAATGAAGGGGATATGAGGTTTAGGGTTTTGGGATAAGAGTTTCTAGGACTTTGGCAATGTATCATAGTTGATTGGTGCCTTTGCTCTGGTCAGTTGGAATTATTCCCTTAGGGTCCAAGGACCCAAACAATAGGGTTTTAGGGCCCAAATATTAGAATATTCATGGTATTTGGGCCCTAAAACCCCATTATTTGGGTCCTTGGACCCTTAGGGATTGTGTTTAGGGTGGAGGGCTTCATGCTCTATATTTCCCTAGAAGCCCAGTTAGCTACATATTGGGTTCCTATATGGGTACCTGGGCTTCTAGGGTTTGTAGTGCACTCCATTGGCCGCAAAAGGTCCAAGCTGTGATCCACTTGGGGCACGCAACGGCGCCTTTATAGGTACACTGGGCCCAAGCGTATACCATGAAGTCCTTTCATACTAGTACTGGACATTCCCCGACCCTGGATATTGAATATGCTCCCCCCAGAGAGATTTTATCTACTGCAGGACGTATTCAAACCCTAAACCCTGAACCGCGAACATTTGAGGTTGCGGGTAGGTGTTTGATATCAGTATGCAGGCAGTATTTGAGTTCGTGGCTCTCTGCTCCACAAAGTACAGAGCTGGAGGAGGAGCATTTAGGTTTTAGAGTGTAATTGGGGTTGATGTTTTTCAGGGGTTTCTGTGTCCTACTCAGTAACTAAGTGGGCTGACTACTTAACTGTGGGCATTCCGACGTATAGGTAAGGTCTAGATTTTCCAGCCCTAAACCCTAAACCCTACAAAGCCCTAAATACCAGCTCCTACACCAAGATCCAACTGACATGGAACCTCCAGAGAGGAGCCCTACAAAGACTGCTCCCTTCGAAGGAGAGGGTTTAGGGTTTAGGGTTTAGGGTTTACGGGGTTCCATGTCAATCCAGAGTATTATGGGGGCCAATCATCGCGAATATTATGGCTATAGATCCCTTGTAATCGTGTGACTATGTATAGGGTACTCAAATAGACCTACGACAGAGATTACAAATCCCGCATGACCCTGAGCACCTTTTTTCCTTGGGAAATGTGGTGATATAGTATAGTAGGGTCATGCCATGCAGGATAAACCCAAAACCCCCAACCCCTAAACCCTGAACCTTAAATCCCAAGCTCCAAGAGCTGAACCCCTAAACCCTATCCTGCAGGCCCCTGTAGAAGATTCCAGAGCGTGGCCAAGGTTTGCATTGCATCCTGTCCTTGCACAATCCAGGTGCCGGAGCCCAGACACAAGGTTGAGGGGTGAGGGTTTTGGGCTCAGGGTTTAGGGTTTAGGCCTTTGGGTTTAGGATGGTTTAGGGTTTAGGGTTCAAGGCTTAGGGCAGGGGCTTAGGGTTTTTATCCTAAACCCCAAAGCTTAACAACACAAGCGCAAGTCATTCTTTGAAGATCCTTGAAGAGTCCTTGTAGTTTTAACTGGAAGCCTAGTCCCTCCGTGAACATGTTTCCGGAGGTGAGGGTCCCCCATGCACACATGCGCATTTCAAGACCAAAAAGGGAGTCTCGTATTGCTGGGAGAGACCATACAGACCCTATGGTGCACAACCCAGAAGGCTACCCTGGATCCTGAGCCCTATATTTAGGCTTAGGATGTAAAGAGGCCACCATCGCGTCATAGCCAACTGGCCTGAGTTTTGATCTTAAACCTGAGATGGAACCATGGGCACCTTTTCTGAGATCTCACATACCTTCGATACATCCTCTAGAGCCTCGCACACCACCCTAAACCCTAAACCTTAGACAAGCGCGTGGTTGAGGGGCCCACATCCAGGACGTTAGATAAACAAGGCTGGTGGTTTGCGACTTAGGGTTTATTTAGTAACCGTAAACCCTAAACCCTAAACCGTTTGGTGTTTAGGGTTCGGATTAGGTTGGCTGTGTGAGCTTCTCAAGTCTTCAGGTCATTCTCAGGACCCCTACAGGGTTCACATGGCTATGTCTTATAAGATGCATTAATATACTTGTACTTTTATGAGTTACTTATAACTTAGGCGGACCCCCCACCCAGCAATAGTAACTATAAGGGATAGTAGGGATTCTATTAGGGTCCTCTGATATTCCTATTATACCACTATTACAGGGTGGGGGGTCCTCCTAACTTATAACCCAATTTATAACTTGAGCATCCCTCCCTGTAGAGGCGCCCTTTCATCTCTGTAGATTCTGGCAGACGCTTCGAGCACCGGTTTAAAGGAGCGTATATGGGTATGGCCAGAGGCTCTGTTGCTGTTTAGGGTTTAGGGTTTGGGTTTAGGGTTTAGGGTTTAGGGTACATTATTGCTCATACACACACTTCTTACTCATGACAGTAAGAATAAGGGCGCAGCGATGTTAAGATCAGCTGCCTGTACGCCCTACCGAAGCAATTATATCCTGCAAGAGCTCGGTGAGGAGTTTCTCTTTGCTCTTGGGCCCAACGTATGCAGTTGCTGCTCAAAACCTTGCGTACCCGTAAGGGTCCAAGTTCTCAATTTCATACTTGCCCAAGAACTTATACTACAAATACTATTAACCAAATCGCAGGTACCTAGTTATTGGGTACTTTGTCCCTTAGGGTACCAGTTGGGCTCGTGTTGGAACGGAAATGTTTCCAACATCCCTCTTGAGCTGCAACGACCAGACTGGTTGACAATCTCCAGACCTTTCTCCTTTGGTTTAGGGCTTAGGGTTGAGGGATTACATTTAGGCTTTAGGATTTAGGCATGTATTGGGATATACAGGGATTCTGTAGAGGGTTATATGAATTATGTGTAGAGATTTCCGAAGTGATCCCTAAACTATGGTTCTTGCACTTAACACTTCCGACTCCAGTCCGAAGGCCAACACCACGCGGTTTGAGGGTTAAGGGGGTTGTTTAGGGCTTAGGGCTTAGGATTTACCATGTAGCTGCATAGTATATACTTGGGCCCCAAAGTAGGTAAAGGATAGCTTTTGAACCCTCAGTATATACTATATACCTACCCAAAACCCAAAACCTTAACCCTTATACTATATGAGCCACTGTCTAAACTCCTAGTATCCCCCTTAAGAAGCCCTATAGTAGTCCCCTAAATAACCCCTATATATACCCCTTTGAGGAGTTTAGACAATGGTTCATATGCCTACATGGACTCTGCGAGAACCTCAGCGATATTGAGGTTGACACCGCCCAGGGCCTTGATGAGATCTTGGCCGTGCTTCGGAGCAGCTTCACATGAATTGTGAAGCCCAAAGGGTCCAAGTACCCAATATTTAGGTCCCTTTTAAAGGGGATATATAGGGTTTAGGGTTAAGGGTTTAGGGTCCATGTACCCAATATTTAGGTACTTGGGATTTGGGTAATGGGAATTATAGTATAGGTTTTGGGTAAGTATATGATTATTGGGTACTTGGACCCTTAGGGGAAGGGGATCCATGGATCTTCAGAGGTTCAGCGTCTAGGGGAGCCATGGATCTTCAGGAGTTAGGGGTCTAGGGTTTGGGGACGGTTGGTGGTTTGTGTCTAGGAGAAGCAAGTGGCTTAGGAGACTTATTGTTTTCGAGATGTAGATTTCGGAGTTGCTGCTGAGAGCCGTGATCTCAAAAATAGTAGCAAGACTGGTAATGAGAGGAAGGTCCAGCGATTTAAGGCTCGCAGCTTCGATTGAACGCCGCATTTTGTGATCAACCTTCTATTACCTGTAAGGGGCGTTCATTCCTCTGATATCAGACCCCAACATAGACCCAAATAGGCTATTTTTCTTTTTCTACGGACTCAGGCATAGAGGCCCCTTATTCTTGAAAGCCGAAACCCTACACACCTCTAAGATATCCCTAGAATGTCCTTATCACATCCTTATAATACCCTTACATCTATACATCTATATACATACGTACATCCGGCAACCCTGCGGAACCCACCAATATTTCTGAACGCTCAACCCTGAAACATATGACGCGGTCTCTACTCTGCAGTAAAGACCGAGGAGCCCAGAGACAATGTATGCTAAATTTCAAATCTTGGGGTTCGCATAAAGCGTTTGTAAAACTTTATGAACAGGCTCCATAAACCTTAGCGGCCCAGGCTTCATTTCAGCTGCTGTTAATATGCTCTAAAAGGGCTATATAGGGTGTATAGGAATAATGGAGAATGGAATGGACAAGAACATGGAAAATGAAATTCAAAACTAAGATGACATAGTGAATGATATGGGATTATATGAGTGACGGTCAATATACGCTCAGTAAATGCTAAAGCCCTCAAGCCTAGACCGTAGATCATTTGTAGCTCCCTCTGGGCAGTTAAGGGTTTAGGGTTTAAGGTGCCCTAAACCCTAAACCCTTACCCTAGGGCTCTATGTCTATAAATAATACCTACATTGGGCCGCAAAGTCTATAAATATGACCTACATTGGGTTATTTGGAGCCTTAGGGTTAAGGGGCACTGCAACTCCGCTCAAGGTACCTAAGAGAGCTCCCAGGCATCAGAGCCCGGAACACGAAGAATGCCAAATCCTCACCAACCCTAATAATGGGACAATGGGTTCTATTGGGGTTATATAGGGATAATGGGTTCTATTGGGGTTTATAAAGATAATGGAAAAGAAAATGGAAGCTACTATTTAGGCTCCAGTGTCTAGGGTTTAGGGGTTAATGTAGACCCAGGATTAATAAACCCCTTCCTTTTAAGGTCCTAAATATTAGGATCCTATTATAATCCCTATTAAGGGGAGGGGGTTTATTAGTCGGGGGTTTGCATTAACTCCTATAAATCCTACACCCTACAACAACCACTCCCAGGAAGCCCCTGCTGGTATACTTGCAAAGAAGCAGGGAATCGATCCTTCAAGCGGTTTTCTATAGGACCCATGAGACTTCGGTTTCCGACCCAGATCCCGGACCGGCAGTCTCCTAAAGCCAGAGTTTTTGGGGGTTTAGGGTTTAGGGAAAGAGCTATAGTCTAAACTCCTTAACGGGGGGTTATATAGGGGACTACAGTGGGGGTTATTGAGGCGGATACTGGGAGTTTAGATTCTGGCTTATACGTAGGGTTGCGAATCCCCTCCCCTAGGATCAGAACCTCCACCCTGCCTAATTTTCAGCACTACATACTATACCTGAATACCACACCGTGAATATTTGATATTGGTGGGATGGAGGGTTGAGTAGTACGGGGGAGGGGATTACAGGGGAGACGGCTACTCAGGGTTTAAGGGTTTAGGGTTTAAGTGAATCTGATATATAAGGTTGTCAATATGATGTCGATTCTTGGGATCCCGTTTTAATAGGGCCCCTACTAGCCAGAAGCCTAAACCTTGGGTACTGCTCCCCTCACTAACAGTTGGATAATAGATATAGTATGGTCATATATAGCCCTTAATCGGACCCCTAATATAGACTGTTACTGGGTGGGGAAAGTACCCAACCTAAACCCTAAATCCCTAAACCCTAAACCCTAAACCCTAATTTTGACGACCTCCCATATCTGTCCGGCGTTTGTATATGAAGCCAGAGTGATCAGTCCAGAACTTTCTGGTTTATATAGGAATCTATAGGGCTTATTTAGGGGTTTATAGGGTATACAGGGCTTATATGGGGGTATATAGGATTTTACGGTAAGTATCGCCCAGTTGTAACCCTGAAGCCTTGAACCTGACCCAGGTCGGAATCAGGATCAACTTGCGAAGAACCTACAGGCAGATCCCAAGCTCTAGAATCTATAAGTATAGTGTTAAGGCGTAGTGTTGGGGTTTTACGGTTTTCGGGCTTCGGGTTTATGCTTTAGATGTGGGTCGGGTTCTGGTGTTCAAGGTCAGTCTCTTGCCACCTTCACCTGAGCAGATGTCCTACCTGAAATCTTAGCAAGCGATAGAGGGCCTCCGGTTTAGGATCATCCTAGCTGAAGTAGCTTTTTTAGCATGGCTTTTGGGAGCGTTTATACACAAGTTGTCCATTGTGGGAAATCACGACTGGACTGCAGGGGTTTCGGGTTTCAGGTATACATGTATATATACTGATATAGATATAGATATATACACATACAACAAGTGAAGCTATACATTCTCCAATTACCTGCCTCTATACTCCCCACCCGACGCTTGGCCCGCACTCGCCGAACTAAGGAGAAACATGGGGCAGTGTAGTTTGGGGGCTATCACAGAACCTATGTTGAACCTAAATCCTAAACCGGGTGATGAAAAGTGAGCCCCCAATTCCGCAGCCACAGTCATGACAAAGATTATGCGGTTAGGGTTTGGGGTTACCCACGAGTACGTTAGTCATAGGGTTAAGGGTTCAGGGGTCGAGCTGCCAAAGCTAATCTCACATACTTGTAATATACCTATTCTATTTACCTAGGTCTCCACCCAACCCCTAAAGAACCCTACACCCTAACCTCTAGCCCTAAAGCCTTAATATTTCTATTTCCGTTTAGATGTGATTCTCACTCGATGACTTTTCATTCATCTAGCTCGTCAGGCTCCCCAGACCCTCCCTAAACTCTATAGGGTGAGGCCCTTAACTTGTAACTTGGATTATAAGTAGCTTACAACGGGCAGAGGCATACTTGGAAGTGATGTAAAGCATGCGAGTCCGCAGGTTTAAGTACAGTTCTGGAACTAGGGGCACGGCCGTGTATAAAGCCTAACTGGCACTTAGCTCTGCAACTTACAACCCCAGAGCTTAAGCTCTAAAACCTGAACCGTACATCCTAAACCTCAGCCCTAAACTTCCTTGTGCTCTGCGTTCTGAAGCCTAGATCTCAAATCCTACTCCTATAAGCCTAAGCCCTAAACTTACTTGAGCCTTGCATCCTAAAGCCTAGGCCTAAGCCCTAAACCTAGGGCCTAAATGTACTTGAGCTCTGGATCCTAAACCCCAAACCCTGAACCCTAAGCCCTAAACCCAAGCCCTGAACCCTAAACCTCAGCCCTAAACTTACTTCGAAGGAAGGCGGCAGCGGTCCGTCTGCCGCAGGCCGGTCGGTGTTTGTATTTCTGCGGCTTACATCTGCCTTTTCTTAGTAGCTGGGTAGGTAACCTTTAACCTTTTGGGGTATATATAGTCCTATTATAACACAAAGGTCAACTTTTTTGGGGATAGGGAACTCAGCAACTAGTTTTTTTTTTTTTAATTGGGTTTAGGGTTTGGGGTTTAGGGGGTTTGAAGGGCTTAGGGTTTAGGGTTTAGGTCTTGAAGGGTTTCAGCGTTTAGGAAGGTGAGTGCGTGCGGCCTGTTTAGGGGGGTGTTTGTCGAATGCTGGTTTATAGTTTCTGAAGTCTACAAATTTGTGTGTATTCTGAGCTTTCCTGGTTCAGGGTTGGGGTCGGAGGTTTGCTGGCCACTCATGCTGCATGAGCAGGGCCCACTGGCTGTACTGCATGGGCCCAAGGGGGCTGTATAGGTGACTATACAGCAGAGTATTGTAGGGTGTATCAAGGGGGGGTATTAGGAGCGGAGGTGGCGGCCCAAGCCCTGACTCACTGCCCCGGGGCCATGGCCCAGACATAGCTTGGGCTAGGATCGCTAAACTAATATCACCCCCCCCCACCCCCCTTTCAGTAAACCCCCCCACCCCCTAATATTAGAAATTCCCCGTTGTGGCATATTGAAATATACTAGGAGTATTTAACATAGGGGGGGTTTAATGTTAGGGGCAGGGATTACTGCAACTGTCAGCCTTGGGAAACAACGGGTGGGGCAAGACTTCCTCCATCAACAGTAGGTTCAGAATTAGGGTTCATTTCTAGCCAAAGTAACTTATGTGCAGTGCCAGCACGACATCTGGGCATCAACTTGTGCAAGCGTTTGGCCCGCATGGTAGACCTGAAGCTCTGAACCTAAACCTCGACTCTAGCTCCCAAGCGCCAGCTCGGAAATCCAAAGCCCTCAGAGCAAAAGTACCCACCTAGACCGCCTAGACCCCCAAAGTACCCCGTGTGGAGCCGCCATATCCCCAAACAGGACTTACTTGGACCCTAAACCCAACACCCCGTAAATCAAGAGCAGCTAGGGAATCCTAGATCGGCCAACCTTCAGGCCCCCCTTGGTACCCATCTATTCAGGGTTCAGGGTTTAGGGGTCCGGGTTTAGAGCTACATCTGCCCTAAGCCCAAAACCCTAAACCTTCCTGAATCAACCAAGAGCTGCAAAGCTCTGGTCGCCCCCACACACTAACACTACGCCCGGGTCCCCGCATCCCAAACCTTGAGGCCTAAACCCTACCTAAAACCCCAAGCCTAAAACCCGAACTCCCATAAAACCTTGCAACCCCTAAAAACCCTAAATCCCAAACCCTAGAAACTGTAGTTAAATCCTAAAACTAGACCCTTAAGAGCGTTACGCCCACGGTTTGGCGGAGGCTCTGGGGTTTCAGCGGGCTTCGCTGCTGGCGCTGCCGTGGGCGCTGCGGCGCCAGAAGAGGAAGCCTTGGGTGTTTTCTTAGGGTTTAGGGTTTGGGGTTTAGGGTTTAGTGTTTTTTCTGGGTTGCTGTTAAGGAACTTAAATTAAGTTACCATAATGGGTATATATAGTAAATAATAGGGTTTCCCCAATATAGTAACTTAATTTAAGTTCCTTAACAGCAACCCAGTTTTGAGTTTAAGGGTTTAGGGCTTTAGGGTTTTGAGGTTTTTGGTTGACGGTTTGGTGGGGTTTGGGTTTAGGGTTCTAGGGTGTTAGGGTTAAAGAGATTTGGGGTTCTAGGGTTTGGGGTTAAGGGTTTGTGGGTTTTAGGTTTATGAGGTTCTGGGGTGTGAGGGTTTTAGGGTTTAAGGGTTTGGGGTTTTGGGAGTGAGGGTTTATTGTTCAAGGGTTTTTGGGTTCTGGGATGTTAGGGTTTCAGGGTCTTGGGGTTAGGGTCTAGGGGTTCAGGGTTTACCGGTTAAGAGTTTGAGGGTTGTAGGTTTTGGTTTAGGGGTGTTCGGGCTTAGGGCTTAGATGGATTTAGGGGTGTTAGGGTTCTGGGCTGTTAGGTTTTTAGCATTGAGGGTTTTAGGGTTTTAGGGCGTTAGGGTCTTAAGGTGTTAGGGTTTGGGGTTCGTTCAGCTTCAGGACGGTTTAGGGCTTTGGGGGCTAGGTTTTAGTGGTGTAAAATAGAAGCCTGAATAATAAGTGCACTATGGTTGAGGGTAATGATGGAGAACCTAATGGACAAGAACATGGAAAATGGAATGGAAACTAGTTTTCTATAGGGCTTGTTTTGGCCGCTGTATTCCCTCTTTAAGTTTTGGACCAGGGTTTGGGGCAAAGGGTTTAGGGCTTGGCTCGGATTCAAGTACCTGAACGGTATTATAGGACTTTTGTCTTCAAGTACTATGATCCCTAAACCTCTAAACCTAAATAGGATTTGGCACCTAAACTCCTTCTACTTCAGTGTGGAAAGCCGGCCTTACAGCGGCGGGCCTTCACACAACAGAAGGCTGAAGCTTCTACAAGATCATTGCAGCTTGTCGAAGCAATGCTGCGCTGCGACAGGGCACATGCGGCGACCAAGACCCATTTACGATTGGCCAAGGAAGCCCGCCACCACATTGCCGAGTTGGAGGCCCAAGTCGTTGAACTGCGGAGGGCACCGCCAGCACCTCCGCAGCACATCCGCCAGGACGCGTGGACTTTGTATGGCTTTCACCAGGAGCTGGACAGCGGGCCGAGCGGCGCAATCGTTAGCCCTCTGCCGGGCGGGGGGAGGTGTGCGTGTGCTTGTGGCCACGTCCTCCCCTGCCGCCGTTGTTGCGGTTGTGGTTGTGTTTGTTGTGGTTGTCGCTGCTACTGCTGCCGCAGCCGCTGCCGCTGCCATTGCCGTTGCGTTGCCGCCGCTGCTGTTTTGTTGCTGTGTTTCCGGAACGTCCTTTCAAGTTTAGAGCTTCGGCTAGAGCGCCATATATCCTCTGGAACGCTTGAGACAGTGTTTGGGGCTCTAGAAACTTAGAGTTCTTAGCATTGAGGGTGTGGGCTTTCATGGGCTCGCGGGGAATAGTGTCTTCCGTGTTGAAGGTGGTTTCAAACCGGGGGGAGGGGTAGTGGTGTGTACAGTGTGTAAGAAGTTAGGGATCGAGGGTGTGCAGTCCTTGGTCGCTTGGGAGTTTTATCAGTGTTTATGCTCTTTTTCTGGGTTTCCCTTGTTCAGTAACAGTAGCTGCAGTGCTTGCCGTTAAAGATGAGGTGAGGCGTTTTTCTATGCGTTCGTTTTTTTGTTTCGTCATGGTTGGCAAAGAAGACCAACTGCCAAGCGTGTGGTCTATGCATTGTTGTCAAGTTGTTAGCTCGCGCGAAATCCTGTTACATATCCAGGATGAGCACTGAAACTGTTGGGTTGGTTTCCCTGGACCTCTAGAGCTTAAACCCTAGACCCCCCCAAGCCCTAAACCCTAAGCCCCCCAAACCCATCTGCAACCCACAATCACGATCTAAACCTTCGATGCTGGACCCCAAAGCAGTGAAGAGGTGTCAGGCATATTCGAGGACTAGAGCCCTAGAGTCTGTTTGAAGCATGAAGTAATGGAAAAGAAAATGGAAACTACTATATGGCATATTGGGGTTATATAGGGATAATGGAAAAGAAAGTGGAAACTATTATATGGTGTATTTTGGTTATATAAGGATAATTGAAAAAATGGAAATTAGTATTTCTTCTATGGAAGACGTGCCAGGCGTTTTGTGCAGTCTAGCCCACGATCACACCTTTTGTAACATTCTCTGTTGTAGTCATTCAGGGTCGCAGATTTTGCCATCCATGTGAGTTACAGCCCGCCATTCACTTAAACGGACCAGAAACACGGCCCCGTTCGAAAGGACATGCCAGCTCTATAGGGTCTGTTTGAGGGTTCCGTGTTAGGGTTTAGAGTTAGGGTTTAGGGGTTATGGAATGTATACCCCAAAGCAGCGCCTGGAGGCCATGGAGCAGCCTCTGAACTTGCAGAAGGCTCAATTCTGGCTTTTGGGGAAATGCTTACTGGTTGCTAGTAGGGAATGAGGGAAGATCATAGATAAGGGTCATATAGGGATTGCTTTCCCCTGTTCCCTACTAACAACCAGTATGATTGCTGCTCGAAAAACGTGCATCAACTCAAGCGCTGTGCATTCTGGGCGCTTCAATGCTTTGTGGACCCTGGGTGGTGCAAGAGTTCATCCATCAACTCGGTTGCTTTTCAAGTTTTTTGTTTACGTCACCATAATGATTACACATAGTCATTAATCTGGTTTTCCCAATTTAGTGTCCTAAATTAAAATTTCGTAATCTTGAAAACCCTAAACCCTAAACCTTATATATCCCTATATACCCCTATATAATTACCCACGATATACGCCCTTATTATAAGTAGATTCCTTAACAGCAACCCGCCAACGGGATGCACTGAAAGCCAGCATCGCGAGAGGTGAAGTCCAGGGAAGTTGGGTTAGGATTTAGGGTTTAGGGTTTCGGGTTTAGGGTTTTAGGTTTTAGGGTTTTAGGGTTTTAGGGTTTTAGGGTTTTAGGGTTTTAGGGTTTAGGGTTTCGGGTGGCAGGGCCGGGGCTGAGGACTCTGGCTGTGCCTTAATGTATTGTTTTTGTAGGGGTTATATAGGGGTTATAGGGTGTACTTCGGGATTAAAAGGGTTATGGGGGGTTGTAGGGGTTATATAGGGATTATAGGGTGTATAGGGCTATTTCGGGATAATGGAAAAGAACATGGAAACAACTATATAGCATATGTGTTCACCCGAGCAGCAAGGGGAAACTTCAAGCCTGAACAATGAACAACTCCCTAAACCTTAAACCCGAAGTCCTAAAGCCTAAAATGCAACCCAAAACCCAAAACCCTAAACCCTAAATCTCTGAACCATATGGATCAGATCATGAGCCCCGAGCCTGAAACCCTAAACCCTGTAGGCAGCTAAAAGACATGCCCGAGCTTGCAGGAGACCCCATTTTAGATGGGTGGTTCCCAAAATTAGGGGTACCTTTTTGGGGGTCCCCATAATAAGGACTATAGTATTTTGGGGTTTATATTGGGGTCCCCTTATTTTGGGAAACTACCATAATATAGTCATCCTTGAGCAAGAAGAGCGCAGAAGTCCAAGAAGTGGAAGGAAATCTTGCACTTCTATGCCCAAAGCCCCCATGGCTAGATGTCCATGTCTTTAGGCAGGGGTGCCGTTTCTGAACTTCAAAAAAGGCATGGACTCAGGGACTTCTTTTTAGACATATACACTCTACCATTTTGCGTGACCATCTCCCGTATAGCCCGAACCCCCAGATTCGGAGGGGCAGGGAGGCTTAGTAAGCATACTGGCAACGCCTATAAGCCATATAGCAGCCTCAGTTAATCACATGATTATTCCACTTACTAAGACCCCTGACCATGCAAGTAACGCTTCAACCCACACACATAAACACCTCTCACCCCAACATGATGCAAGGACGCGAGGGAGGCACAGAAGCAGAAGGAAAGGGAACTCGAGGAGGCAAAACACCGCGAAAGAGAGGCCGAGAAGGAAAGGGAACGCGAAAGAGAAAGAGACACTTGGCTAAAGAATGGGTTCAATTTTCAGGGTCAGGGGTTTCGGCGTTATAGGGTTTAAGGTGTCTGCTTCATAGGTCAGGAAGTATTGGCTCTAAATAGGCGCATTTCTACACAAGAGTCACGGCTCATGTTTGGTTTCGCCTATTGTGTATAGAAAGGATCCGAGAATCCTGCTAAGGGCGCATCCTTCTGGGTTCCGCTTCTGTTTTCTTTTGTTGCAGACGCTTCTATTCCAACAGCCCACATGAAGCAATCTCAGGAGAGGGAGAAGGAAAAGGCCATGGAGAAGCAAAGGGAGCAAGAGGAGAAAGCCCGGAGAGTCTCCTTCACATGTTGAATCCCACATGCTAAGCCTTTAACCTTTACTTTCCAGTAGCACTGGGAGATCGTAAGGGTAGCTAGCACTGCTGTGACGGCTGCTAGGGATGAATTAAGATTAATTGAAATTGGGGGGTACGATTCACCACTATGCGACAGGAGAGGGAGAAGGAAAAGGAGAAGGAGCGGCAGAAGGAGAAGGCTCCTTTGGTGTATGTTGGCCATTTGAGACCCTTCGAACCATTCCCGACGATGGATCTTACCTATCATGACGTGCAGGGGTTGCAGCCATAGGCACTTTGCAGTCATCTGAGTGTAGGGCACCCTGCAGTCATTGGAATTTAGCGCTTCTAGCATAGAACTCTGAACGTGCTGTATTTCGCAGTGTAGTTTTGCAAAAGCTGCGCCTTGATGTGGGAGCCACATTGGGACCCATATGTATACAATATACCAATATACCTACATGGACCCTTTGGGCATTTTTTGCAACGTAGGAACCTTTTGTTTGGGTCATTACCTTTGCGTCTGGGAATGAAATTTAGATCTCCCAGAAACTGCTTTGATCCCCTGAGAGGTTGCGCCGACGCAGTCAAAGGCGGCTCCACCAGTCAAGGAGCGGTCCCGAAGCCCTCAGCAGACCTAAACCCCTAAACCCTAAAACCAGGGCTTGTGGCAGGGAGCTATAGTAGGGTTCAGGGCTTGAGGCCTCCAGCAGGGTCTAGGGGTCCAGGATAGGGGTTCTGGATTTCAAAGCAATGGCACCTCCAGCTCTCCTTTGGGTTTAGGGTTGATTACAATACAAAGCCACTGTACAACATATACGTTGTAGGTCAATATATTGGGGGGGGGTTATATTTTTGAGTTGTTCTTTTCAGTTATGTTGCATCTCTGTGGCAGTCAACAAGGACACCTTGACTTCTTTCGGTGCATACCTTAGGTCATTCACCCTTATAGTAACGGTCCCCACAACAGGTAATAGGAGTGATAGTAGCCAATTGATTGGTAAAGCCCTTGAAGGACAGTTGTGGTAAGGGGGAATGACCCAACGCATGCCCAAATATTTATCGATGTAGCGCTGTGGAGCACACAAACCTTCAGGATCCAAATAGCCCGATGTACGTAATTTTTATAGACTTTAGGGCCCAATGTAGGTATTATTTATATATTATTTGGATCTCTAGGGAAAGATCCAATTCCTCAGCGCTGAACCCTCAACCCGACACTTTACCCCGAACCCTCCAAGCCCCAAACTGTAAGGTTCATACCCTATGGGGTTTAGGGTTTTGGGTATACCCCCAAAAACGTTAAGACCTTAACCCTATAAACATGGAGTCCAAGCCCAACCTCAAACCTACCTGGGTGGTCAGCGGGGACAGTCGGACTTTGTACTTAAGTATACTTTGAATTCTATAAGCCACATGAGTAGTATTTCATTTCGGGATTCTGTAGTACCCAAGAAAGAGCACGATTCTATCCTCCTTTTGGGTATAATATCCTATATACAGAATATAGTCTTACTTGGTACAACCCCCGAAAACACATTACTCACAGAATAACCCCTATCATTAACCCACTTCCGAATCCCTAAACCTTAAACGCTACACCCGAAGCCCTAAACCGTAAACCCACTTACTAAGCCCGCGTGACTCTCCAGGTAGCATGACCGTGAACCCTCAACCTCATGGTAGCAAGCCGCGAGTCAGGACACGAAGTCCATGTCCAAGATCCGCCGGTCCTTGGAAAAGGAGACTTGTCAAGAAACCCAAACCTAAGGGTCCAAGGACCCAAATAACAGGGTTTTAGGGCCCAAATACTATAATGTTAATGGTATTTGGGCCCCTAAAACCCTATTATTTGGGTCTTTGGATCCTAAACCCTAAACCCTAAACCCTATATCCCCCTAGAACCCCCTTTAAAGGGATCCCTATTATTTGGGTCCTTGGACCTTTAGGGATAAGGCCCTCTATTTCGCGACGAGCCGTCGACCTCAGAGCGTACCTCGAACTCCAACCCTACAGGGTCCAAGTACCAAACAATCATATACGTACTTACCCAAAAACTAGGCCCCTTTAAAGCGGTTATATATATATATATGTATGTATGTATATGGATATATTGGGTCTAGGGTTTAGGGCCCTAAGGGTCCAAGTTCTTTATAAAAAAAACATATATTTACCCAAAATCTGTACTATATAAATACTATTTCCCAAATCGCAAGTACCTAATTATTGGGTACCTGGACCCTTAAGGCAAGCATTTAAGCTAGCCAAGGCACCTCTGATTCTCACCCATGTCCTGGGCTATTCCGAATGGATCCGAGTGCGCGAATTCTCTATGGGGAAGAAGAATGTGAGCCATCCGGGAAAGCAAAAAGAACGCGCAAAACAACAATGAAAAGAAAACGAGCAACCACAAAGAAGCCCCGGGGTAGCGTTGAGGCTTGAAGTGTGGCAGTTGCTGTGCCAAGGCTCCAAGCGGGATGTTCCCAAAATTAGGGTTGCCTTTTGTGGGGTCCCAAGAATAAGGATTATAGTATATTGGGGTCCGCCTATTTAGGAAAACTACCATTGGGTTTAGGGTTGCAATCCTATCGACAGCTGCCTCAAGTGCGCAATAGGCACAAACAAGATTGACCCCAGCCATAGCCCTACAGCACCGAAAATCCGAAAGCAAAAGCACGCTGAACCCGTCGCGAAAAGGGTCTGGGACTTTCTGCTTCGAACTCCCCGGAAACAAGGTGACACCAAGACCTACGTACTTTGACTCCCCAATCGTCCAGGCGGGCTGAAATCCCGGTTTAGGGTTTAGGGTAAGAGACTAAGTTCCCAATCAGTATTTCTAGCCTACATTCACAAACACAGCTAGTCAGACCAATGCTACTTCTACGCTAGTATAAGTACTCATAGCCCAGGGGTCCATGCAGCTATATAATGTTTTCTTGAGCCCTACTGTAGCTATACATGAACCCTAAGTATCTACTATATACCTACCCGAGCCCAAACCCCAAACCTTGAACCCTATACACTCAACCCTAAGCCCTACACCATGGACCGTTTGGGATAGCTGGTCCACCCCTCTTCGAAGCCCGGATTACGGAAACTCCGAACTCTGTCCACAAATGCTGGTGATCGAGCCCTGGGTTCGGCATGCTACCCCCAAAAGATTTAGGGTTTAGGGTTTAAGGCTTTAGGGTTAAGGGCAAAGGGCAATATCCCTAAATTATGCCATATGACTTAAGTCATTGTTGGAATCATGCAGGGTGTATTCAAAACTTAAATGAGAGAGGGACTTTCTGCATAGATCCATAGCTGTTTGATCGCTGGGCTCAGGGAAATTAATGTAAGCCAGGGTTGACCAAATACTTTTGGGGTTTAGAATTTCTGTTGTCTCCTCAGACCTGTAATAAGAACAATATTCTTAAACACTCCTTAGGGCTATACTATATCAAACAATAAAGATAATTCCTAAGAAAACTAGAGACTTACTGTTTAGGAGTTAGTGCTAAGCATGGTAGACCCTATAGTTTCCAAAACTATTCAATGGGATCCCAAACCTTCGCGCCCAGAGCCCAGACACAAAATGGTCCTAGGAACCTTTGAGTACGGTTGAGGGTTTAGGGCTTGGGGATCTGGGTCTCAGGGTTATGTGGCCCAGGTATCAGTGCAGTGACCAGGTTGGGGCTAAGCATGTTGTGCTTCGGCTTTAAGTTACCCAGACAGAAAGCCCAATATCCCTTAATTGGGAATTATACCCTGAACTAGAATGGGGTTTCTAATATGACTGAAGGCATATGCACAAATTAGGGGACAGTGGCCCCTAAAACCTAAACCCCTCATTAAGGGATATTGGTCTTCCGGGCAGGCAAGGGTCTACGTGAAGATCGCTCCAGGCCAATAAGCGGCTGCAGTCCAGTTGGGGCCACTCCTTCAGCAACAAAGTCGGGTTCGGAGTTTGGGGTTTCAGGTTTAGGGTTTGGGAGGGTTCATGTCATGTATGCTGAGACCTATAAGCCCCAAAACCTGAACCCTAAACCCTGACATACGGTTAAACCTCAGTTCTGAGTTTCAAGATCGTGCTCAGGGTTCATAAAGTCTAGCGAGGGTTTCGGACGAATTTCAAGTCATAAAAAATGAAGATGTTGTCCGCGATCAGGGACCAGGAGATTGCGTTTCCGTGAAAGGTCGGCAAAGGTCCGGTTACCACTTGCTAATTGCTACTAATGGGTTATATAGGGAGACTGGAAATGAAAATGGAAACAGCTGCTTAGGGTTTAGAGATGTAGACCTCTGATTAATGAACCCTCCCTTTAATGGGGACTATAATAGGGCTCCGAATATTCAGGCCCTTAAAAGGAAGGGGTCTAAATCCTTTAAACCCTAAACCCCTAAACCCTAAATCCATTAACTAGGGGTCTACATTAGGCTGCAACTCCATAAGGCTGATTCTCGAATAAATCCTTGCAACCCGACACCGAACTAACCCTGAGCCTTGAAACACTGCAGCCCCCCACCCCCAAAAAAGCAAACTAGCATGGAAGCCCTGAAGGGGCCTTTGGTATATAGGGATTAATGGAAAAAAGACAATGGAAATGACTATGGTGTTGTTCAGGGTTTATGGTCCATCTTGCCTTTGGTTAGCTGGGAATGAAGGAATAGAAGAAAAATGGAAACTACTAGAATGGGTTATATGGGGATTACTACAAGGATCCAGGCCTTCATTCCTAGCTGACCGAAGGAAAGTAAAGGGGCTCAAGGCCATTGTCTTTTGTTGCTTTAAGCGAGGCCTTTCTGGGCTTCCGTGTGGTCAGAGTTTGGGGTTTTGGGCCTAAACCCTCGAACTCTGGGGTGGCGTCCCTCTTCTCATAACTGCTGCTAGTCGTATCGTTTACTCAAAAATCTGTGCACTACAATTTTGACTACCTATGCCTACACTTCTGCTGCTCTAGAATATCCGGTCTATTCTTACCATAATTCCTGCTATCATTTTCCGGAGCTTCAAAAACTGCCTCACCTACTTGCAGGAAGACTGCATTGGCCAAGACGTGAAATCTTCAACATCTTGTCTTAACCATGGGTTCCTTCACATGGACTCTGCCGTCTATCGTTGGGTTCGGGGTTTAGGGTCTAGTATGTGTTTCAATCTGCTTGCCTTTTTCGCAACCCTGAGCTCCACACCCTCATATATGCCCCGTGAAGACCTCAATCCCGAACACCTACACCACGCGCCCTGAAGCGTACATCCCAAACCCTCAATACCACGTATAGACATATATGTCCTGCATCACATTAGCCAGGTCGGAAAGCCTCAAGTCTATTTCTTAAAATCATCCAAGTGTAGTTCTTATAAGGTGGACCCTGGACCCCGCTCATACTTTGTATATATATATATATGTGTGTGTGAGTGTGTATGTATGTATGTATGTATGTATGTATGCATGTATGGAGGTATGGATGGGCGGATGCATGTATTTATGTATGTATGTATATATCTATATATCCCTTGGCCCTGGGTGGCTAGGGTACTCTCATGTACCCCGAACATTACACCCTAAACTCAGCTTCGAGAACCCAAAACCCAAAACCCTAAACCCTAAACTCTAAACCCTAAACCCTCAAGGCAAGATAAATAGAAATTGTATTCTCGTCTAGCAAACAACAGGCCGCAAAGATGTTTTAAGTAAATTGAAGCAAGAATACACAAGGAGGTTTAAATAAATTGAAGCAGGCCCCGAGGCCCAGAAAAGATTGGGAAGAAGTTCAGAAGCCTAGAAAAGGCCCAGAACAGGCCCCGAGGCCCAGAAAATTGGGAAGAGGCCCAGACGCTCACAAAAGAGGCCCTAGAAAAGGCCCAGAACAGGCCTAGAAAAGGCCCAGAACCAGGCCCCGAGGCCCAGAAAAGGTGGGAAGATGTCCAGAAGTTTAGAAAAAGCCCAGAAGAGGCCCCGAAGCCCAGAAAAAGTTGAGAAGCCCACAAAACGGCCAGAAAAGACCGGAGAGCCTAGAAAGGGCCTAGAAGACGCCCAGCCCCAGAAAAGGCTGGGAAGAGGTCCAGAAGCTTCCAAAAGGCCCAGAAGATGCCCCGAGGCCCAGAAAAGCTTAAAAAGAGGCAGACGCAAAAGACACAGAAGAGGCGCGAGGGCCTAGAAAAGGGTCAGAAGAGGCTGGGAAGAGGTCCAGAAGCCTAGAAAAGGCCCAGAAGAGGCCCAGAGGCCCAGAAAAGGCTGGGAAGAGGCCAGAAGCCCAAAGGCCCAGTCCCCCATTCAGTCTCAGTGCGCCCCCTGCACCAAACCAGTTTTGGACAAAGCAAAAGCCAAAACTCGCCCAAAACCCGCCCAAAACTCCCGACCCGAACTCTATACAATTTCTATAAACCCTAAACCCTAAACCCTCAAGCAGGGTAAACAGAAATTGTATTCACGTCCACCCACTTGACAGGTTTCTCAGCAATAAACACTCAGCAAGTGAGCTTATTTTGTGCCTTTTAAAGCAAATT